TAATTCAGTAGTAAGAGTGCTTGCATAGCATGTGTGAGGCCCTGGCTTCAATCCCCAGTCAAAAAGGAGATATAAGTTGAATTTTGTCTACATTATATTTTACAGAGTTTTGTATTACCAAATTGAGCAGAGGTCAGCAAACTTGCCTTTTTTTGTGAATAGTTTTAATAGAACATTTCTAACCCTGTTCATTTCGATATTTTTAGTTGCTAATTTGGCACAATAATGGCAGAATTGAGTAGTTGCAATAAATATGATGTGGTCCACAAAGCTTAAAATATTTACTATCTGCTTCAGTATTTGCAGGAGAGACTATAAATAAGCCTTAAAAATACTTCTTTGCCAAATTAAACCTTTCCTTGGAAAAAGTGTCCTTTTTTGTATAAATTTGCTGACCCCTGATCTAGACCATAAAATTCTGTCATAAATTGGAATTCCATATATTTTAACACTAACAACAATTTTATCTGGGTTGTATGTTTATTTGGGTGGTATGACTTAACCTGTGACTGGTACTTTTTAATTGTATAAAACAAATGGAATAAACTTAAGATCTAGTCATCATCTAAACTAGAGGATTAGCTCATACTGTGCTTCACAATCACTGAGGAGCTTCTTGATGTTTGGGTTCTGTTTGTGTAGATTTGTTTGATATTTGGTTAGGGGTTGGACTCAGGCTTTGATAAAATATTTTAAAAGCATCACAGGTCATCTGCAGCCAGGCCTTGGGATCAATCATTTTATCCCATTTACTCATTTTATAAATGAGGCACATAGAGTTAAAGAGGTTGTGACTTGTCATAGGACATATAACCATTCAGTGGGAGAGCTGGACCAAACCCTAGTTCTATGAATTTTGTAGTTTCCTGTGTCATTCTGCATTGTCCACTCTAGACTAAGAGTTAACACTTTCTCTGTGAAAATCTAGATAGCATTTTAGATTTTGTACACTATATGGTGCTTTTCTTATTCATTGATTTAAAAAAATCAGAATTTCTGATTCTTGGAATTTCTGATATTCTTTACTGAAAGTTACTCATTTTTTTTCAGGGGCAGGAATGGAAGTGGGAGATTAAAATAAATAGCAAAAAGCACTGCCACATTATAATTATTATAATTTAATTATAATTAAAGATTAGGAGATTTAATGAAATGCTACCTTCAGCTCTTAGGGTTAGTCCCCCTCTTGCATAGTAATTAAGGATCTGGTTGTTTCCTGACACAGTTTAGATTTCATTTGCCAGGATAAAAAGGCAGCTTTTTAAATTTTCCCTTCAGTCTTAAATGAGATAGACATTTTCAGCATAAAGCTGAATTCTTGCGTTTTGCTAAAAATTAACAATAGATAATTAAGTTCAGGGTGGGGGATTTAGCTCAGTGGTTCTGCTGCCTGCCTCACAAGCTCAAGGACCCGAGTTCAATCCTGGGTACCAAAAAAAAAAAAACAAACCATAATTAAGTTCAAAACTTTTATGTAGAGGATAGGAGAAATTATATGGCATTCAAGATTTTGTCATGAATTTATTTAATTTAGTTAAGTATTTAGATGCTACCATGAATAAAAAGCTTTTAGATTTGATTCTTATTAACAGCTCAGCTTACTATTAATAATTTTAGGGTTTTCACTCAGTAAAATTTAGTTCTTTTGAAATTATCTTTGTATTTCTGATCCCAATAGTCCTATTAACTTGAATTTGATTGAGAGTTATGGAAATAAATTGGACCATTTTGACACTGTTGGTTTGCCAGTTTCCCTCTAACCTTTTACAGTTTTGTTCATGGACTGTATCATAAAGGTTTCTTTCATGAGTAAATTTTGAACCCAAGTTCAAGGTGAGTTCAGAATATACTCAAATTCATTCAATCCTTTTTTTTTAAATTCAGGGTTGTACATATTTTAATAATTTTCTTATGTATCTGGTATTTAATGCTGACAGGATTCCAGTCATTGGAGAGGTTTCATTGCAAGTAGCTGCAGGTGTGTTTCATGGTAGAGATAAAAAGTTTTCAGTGAAGCAGACTTTGTTTTTAAAAAATTACATCCTTGTTAATAATGTAGATGTTGATTTTGTGGAGCAATACAGTATGCTTTCTGTATATTATGCTGTACAACTAAGTTAAAGTTTTAGTTGTGCAAAAGCCATCAGGTATCAAATATAAAAGAAATGAAAAATTTTAAGAATTGTAGAAATGGTACATAGTATTTATTCTTAAATGACATAATAACCGAGTAAATAAAATGTAAAGCATCTCAGTGTAATACAGTGTATCATTGGGATCTTGTTCCTTTGCATGATATGTCTTGGTTCTTATTTTTTCCCCATTCCCCTGCCCTCCCTTCACCCCCTCTACCCTTCGCCATTTGCAGACTTTGTTTCCATTTTTTCCTATTCTCTTTTCTTTTCCCTTCTTACCTTCCCCTATCCCTCCCACTTCCCCTATACCTTTAGACATTTTTTCCTATTACACAATATCAATTATATATTTTGATTCTTATTTACACTTTTAGTTTATCACACCAGAGAAACTATTCAGTATTTACGTGTGTCCTTTTAATTTCACTTGAGTAGGTCCTCAGTCTGCATCCACTTAGCTATAAATGTCTCTAGTTTCTCATTCTTTATGGCTGAGTAGTACTCCATTTTACACACACACACACACACACCACATCTTCTTTATCCAGTCTCAAGTTGATGGGCAATTAGGCTGTTTATAACTGTGCTGTTATAAACATGTGTGAGCTTATATCACTGTGGTATAATACTTTTAATTCTTTTGGAAAGATACCCAGCAGGGGAATAGCTGAGTCAAATGGGACTTCTAATCCTAGTTGTTTGAGGAGTCTCCATATTGATTTCCACAGTGGTCGCACCAGTCTGCACTCCCACCAACAATGAAGAAGGGTTCCTTTTTCCCCACAACCCTGCCAACATTTGTTATTGGTTGATTTCTTGATAGTGGCCATTCTTCCTGGGGTGAGGTAGAATCTCAGTGTTGTTTTCAACTGCATCTCGAATGACCAGTAACGTTAAACATTTTTCATGTGTTTATTTGCTTTTACTTCTTTGTTTGAGAAATGTCTGTTTATTTCAGATGCCCATTTTTGAATTGGGTATAAATTTGGGGGGTATAAATTTGATTTTTTTGAGTTCTTTATATATTCTGGATACTGGACCTTTGACTGAGGAAAAGCTGGTAAAAATTTTTTCACACATTGTAGGTTGTCTCTTACCTCTGTTGGTGGTTTCTCTTGCAGTGCAGAAGCTTTTTAAAAAGATGAGATATATTTTTCTTTAGTACTGTGGTAAATAGGCCACCCATCAAAACCATGTTAATGACTAGTTTTTGGTCTTCCTAGGAAGTATGTTAATTCCTTTTATTATTCAAACATCTTTACACTAGAACAGGAATTTGCTCTCGGTTATAAAGTTTCAAAGCAGTTGTAATAAATACATATATTGAGTTCATTTTAATATTAGAGGTTTTAAAAACTGTCTTGAAAATGCCTCTTTAATAACTGGCCTTAAAGTAATATTTTTAAAGGAATGTACCACTTACTACATTTTTGTAATGTTTATTAAACTTTTAATCATTTTTGATCCATAACAGTAAGACTAATTCTCTGCAAGCCTTTCATAAGAAGAGAAACGAGGTATATATACTATTTGTTTTGCCTTTTCAGCTAGTTATAGTCAGCAGACTGGACCCCAACAAGCTCAGCAGTTCCAGGGATATGGCCAGCAACCAACTTCCCAGGCACCAGCTCCTGCCTTCTCTGGTCAACCTCAACAACTGTCTGCTCAACCACCACAACAATATCAGGCGAGCAGTTATCCTCAACAAACTTATACTACCCAAACATCTCAGCCTGCTAATTACACTGTGGCCCCTGCCTCTCAGGCTGGAATGGCTCCAAGCCAACCAGGGGCTTATCAACCACGACCAGGTTTTACTCCACCTCCAGGAAGTACCATGGCCCCTCCTCCAAGTGGGCCAAATCCTTATGCACGCAATCGTCCTGCCTTTAGTCAGGGCTATACCCAGCCTGGACCTGGTTATCGATAAGGAGGTTCAGCTGATGAAATGAGCTGTTTGCCTCCCAAGACTCCAATACTATTTTATTTTAATTTGTATTGAAGTTCAGAAATTAAAAAAGCAGAGCATTTTTTTAATGGTATCATTGTTGATGTTAATTGAAAGTAAAATTTGCTGGAACTCAAAAAAGACCAAAATGAAAATTTTTCCTCCCCTGCTTAAAAATTTAGCAGCTTTCTAGTTATTTTGAAACACTACTCTTACATGTGTGTAAAGTGATTGGCTTTCTAGCTTCTTTTGTCCAGAGGATATTAAAATGCTAGGTTGAGGTTTAGCCAACTTGGCTTTACTTGGCTTTTTACTGTTAACCTGATGTACTAAAGTAGAACCCTTTGAGATGACTAGATACTGTATAAAATGTAACATTGATAGGTTAATAAAAGTGATTGAATCCATTAATTGTCTTGTAATTTAATCTAATCATTAAATGAGAAAAATCATATTTTACAGAAATTTTTGTTAATGTTTGTTCTTAAAGAGATATACAAATATTTACAGATTTCTATTCAGAGAAATAGTGCCATGTGGTTTTTGTACTGATTTTGAAAGAAATGCATTTAACAGTCATTGGTTTAAACCTTAAAATAGATTTCACAGGAAGGGAGCTTAATTGAGGATTTAAGCACAATAAATACTCTTACAAAGATGTAAGGGGGTTTAGTAGATCCTAACTTTGTGATTTTCTTAGAGAGGTAAAGGTAAGTTTACATACAGGTGAAACATTCAGAAAATTTTTTAAAAACCTCATTCTTAAAAAAATTACATCTCTTTATTGAAGAATTTATACTTAACTTGAAAATTACAAATTGTAGCATTGATAAAAGAGAACCATGTAGGGCTGGGGATTTAGCTCAGTGGTTCGGTGGCCTGCCTTGTAATGGCAAAGACCCGAGTTTAATCCCCGGTACCAAAAAAAAAAAAAAAGAGAGAACCATGTTGTAAAATAAGCATAGGAAAAGGTCTTTCCATAATAAGGGTAACAATGTACCATTTCCATCTCCCTCTCCAGCATGAATAAAAACAATGCATTTTAATGAAAATGAGTCAGATTTTTATTACACCTTGAGTTAAAGAGAATTACAGAAACACCCTGATACATTCATTCATAGAGGTCTAATGTATAAATATTTTGCAAATAGCCATTTGTAAAATGGTAGGAATCATGTGGTGCATTATCTTTTCATGCTCAAACTTCACATTCAACCCGCATACAGTTTGATTAGAATCATAAAAACAACATTGGTTAAAAACAATTGGTTAAAGGGCTAGTTTGACAAAGTATATTCAGATACTAGTATACTTTTAAAGCAATATATCAGATTTGACCTCCGCTTTTAGTCAAAATGAAATTACTAATTCAAATTTTTTTAGTAATTGCTGATATTTCATGGAAATTTTCATTAGCATGAACATATACATGCCTCAGAAATCTGTTCAGCTGTTGCTAAAAAATTTGTTTAACTAAACATTAAGACCTGTTTTCCCCAGATACTTATGCTGAAGATAATTTGATCTAATAAGTTAAACTAAGTAGAGATTTAAGAAATTAACTCACCAGTAAGAAGCATACACATCAGTAAAAGTAAATATTTTTAAAAGTATATTATGTTTTTGATGTTAATTTTGTTATAAAAGTATCTCAAAACATCATTACAACAATGTGATAAATAATATACAAATGATCTCTTAAAATACCATGAATAGGGAGCCAGCTTCCCTAAAAATGTTATTCTGTTAAAATGTCAATATCTTCCTTTGTTAAAATGACTTTGTAAAAACTGATAAATATTCTCAGCAACCTTTTTCTTCTAAACACCTAATATTGTTGCTAGATTGCAGGCTTTAATACATAGTAAACAAAATTGTTTTAAATGGATGAGAAAATACCATAGTGGGGTGTTTTTGTTGGTTTGGTTTTTGAGGGATTTATTTTGGCCATATGAACCAGAAGTACTTGGAGCATGATTATAGCATCTACCATTTTCCAGGAATTGTAGTTCCACACTCATACCACTGGACATAATTGATCTGGGTGTGACCACCTATTTCTCCAAATTGGACAGGTTCTTGGCGAACTGCTCTGAAATAGCCTAAGAGAGAAAATAGTTGAGTTTTAACAGTTAGTATGCTACATTTTGTCCTATCTGTTCATAGACTGAAGGATGTTCTTGAGTGGCCGAAAAATCTTTGGGTAAAGCTCTTAAGTAAACTAGATGTCTTTCGTCAGGTATAATGGCTGCCTAAAATCAGAACCCCCAAATTCTTGACATTTGGCTTAGCAAGTTAAAATGGGATCGTCTATAGTACCTTAGAACAGTTTTGACTGCCCCATTAATAGGTTCAGTGATCTTTAGTTTTCTTTTGGTATGGTTAGTCTTTTTTTTGAAGTACCAGTGTGGGGTGAATATGTTGGTGCAAAGTCTAATCAAATAATTAAAAGTATTTAAAAAGCCTCTCGATTCTTCCTGAGCAATTTAGACAGTTAACTTACTCCTTCATTGCTTAAACAGAGATTAAATTAATTTTCAGTCTTTTTCAATCTTCATTACAGTGTTGGGTGCTAATGTGTATTTAGCAAATTATAGAAGTTATTCCTCAGTGAAATTATTACATTTCAATTATATTTATAAGACTTGTCTTCCATGTGTTATAATAAAATTTAAATTTTTTTAAGGAAGTAAAAGATAATGCAGGTGTGCTCCATATGAAGAAAAAACAAGTTAATACTTGAATGATTTAAGTTTGAGAAATACTGATTTTTAAGCTGTTTTTGCAAATACAGATTTGCTTAAAAGTAGATACATTTTTTTTTTGTTTGTTTGGTACTGGGAATTGAACTTGGGTCCTTGCGTTTACAAGGCAGGCAACCGAACCATTGTGTTAAATCCCCAGCCCAAAAGTAGATACATTTTTTTATGTCTATCACTAAGTTCCTGTTGAGAAAGTTTACTTTTTTCAAGCCAGATAATTAGAACAGTAGTTTTATAGAATTATTTTTAACTTGAGAACTTTTCCTACCTTATTTCTTGAGTTAACCTATAAAGCCCTCTTGCTTATGAGAAATATCAGAAAACATACCTTCTTTGGTGGGTAACTGATCAGAAAAGAGATGCTGTCCTGTGCGACCATCTAAAAATGAATCCACAAACTGACAGTGATCCTCTCCATGGCCCCTCTGATCGCCTATGTTATAAAATTTTCCTGAAGAAGCAGAAATTTGATGTATTACAATTCTGAAATAAATTTTTTCAAAGAATGATCTTTCCCATTCTTGTATATTTTCCCTTATTCTCTGTTAGCCACCAATGTCTCTTGACTGAACTATAGAATAGTCTTGCAACTGATGTCTCTGACTTCTTTCTTGTCTTTGTATATTATTTCTCCCCTCTCCTTTTTACAGATTAGTGATTTGTAAAAAAAAAATCCAACTAAGGTGACACCCCCTCCCCATTCTCAATAATTTTCTCTTGCAGGGCCCGGGATTTAGCTCAGTGGTTCCACCACCTGCCTTACAAGTGCAAGGTCTCAAGTTTGATACCTGGTACCAAAAACAATAATTTTCTCTAGCAGTCTCCTATTACACTAAGCATAAAACTTTATTTCAGAGCTCTATGAATTCTTTGGACCTGGCCAAAGGGTTTCTGCCTCAGGCCTCTGCAGTTTCTCTTTACCTCTGCATTTTTTCTTGCTAGAACTTTGGTTGGTTCCTCTCATAATTTTCTACTTAGCAGAAGTGATACCTTTATGGAAAGACATTCCCTAAAACCATTCTATCTAAAGGAGTTTCTAATTCCTCTTAAGTCATTCTCTTACCCTTCTTAAAACTGTCTTCAAAGCACCTGTATGAAATTCTAACTAACATATTTGTGTGTCTCCCTAAGTAAAGGGGAGATAGGTATCCTACTTGAAAGTGTCTTGTTTGCTACTTTGTTATCACCTACAACAGTGCCTGGCATAAAGTAGATAATACCATAAATTTTTGTTTGTTGTTTGGTTCTTTGGTTTTTGTTGTTGTTACTGTTGTTGTTTTTTGGTTTTGTTTTGTTTTGTTTTTAGACAGGGCCTCACTATGTAGTTGAGACTGACCTGGAACTCACTATATAGCCCAGGCTGCTGGTCTCTAACTCACAATGATCCTCCTGCCTCAGCCTCCTCTGAGTGCTGGGATTACAGGCATGCACCACCACATATGGCTACCATAAATATTTTTTAAATGAGTGAACCATCATCTTCCTAATGTTGGGGACAGCCTTGTATATTTTTTAAAAACTTTTGTGAATATAGGAGAAAAATTATAGACTATTGGGTATCAAGCAAGGAGCTAGAGCCCTTCTAGTATCTTAAAGATGCTGTATTTCTTCCACAACTATTGTTAGGTATAATCATTTTATTATCAATAGACTTTTTTTCTTTGGGTGGCTATAAAAAAAACAACTTGAATGTACTAGTACCTGTATATATAAATGTGCCATGACAGTACCGTGTCAGCCTGTGTTTTCATTTCTTTCTCAAAAAAAATTTTTTTTGTATTGGGGATCAAACTCTGGACCTTGTGCTTGCGAGGCAGGCATTGGCACCACTGAGCTAAATCCCCAGCAGCTGTCTAATAGCAGGCCTAAGTCCTTATCTTCTAGGATGAGACTGTAACTATTTCAATAACATTTTGCTTAGAGGACAGCTTAAGTAGAATGCTTACTCACCCTTTAGTGCCTGGAACTTCACAGAATTGGCCAGGGTAGAGAGTACAGTAATATAGCAAACATTCTCTGAAGGCAAAGGTTCAAAATAGGTTGCAGCCCTCCTTACCTGTAAGGGAGTCACTCAGGTAAATCTTGTATCTAAGAGAGTTGCACAGCTGCACGCCTACAAATTTTTTATACCATGTCCTTTTGACATATTGTTTGCCTTTGCATTCTGAGTAAGAGTCTGAGTTAAAGGGTCTTTCAGTCCAGATGGCATCTCTTCCTCCTGCATTAGGAGAAGACATGGTTTGAGTTTTCTGTCTGACTCTTAGATATTGAGCAGCTGTCTTCAGAGTTTTACAAAGCCAATCTGCAAAGTTCAATGCCAACTTGCTGATACTTACATTGTTTTCCAGTGCTAAGTATGGGAACCAAAAATAGCATGAAAGTTTAAACAAACTCAAGTTCCTGTCAACAGTGAGATAAATCTCAAAGCAGTATGTTTAGGTGCTGGATATAGACAAATTTAGGGACAAATTGGGGGGAGGGGGTTTGTGTGTGATTGTTTTGCAGAATAATATAATATTTAAACATGTTTCAGTGTGACACTGTTAAAAGAAATAAGGGTGTAATATCTTGAATTAATTAAAATCTGGACTGGCCTGGTACATGAGTGAAAGTAAGTTTCAAAGTATCTGACTTGCCCCTGCAATATCATAGCTTCTTAATATTCATCAAGTTATTCACACCTGATTGATTTCTGGGAAAGCTAATGGTAAAAAAGAAATAACCCAAACTCTACCATGTCGTTTTAGTTCAGTCCATTTAGAAAAGCATGTACTTAGAAAAAGAATAGAAAAGCATGTACTTGTTCTCACTAAGACAGGTACTTACCAGAAACTGGCTCGCTTACTCTTGGGTCAGCTAAGGAATAACACAAACAAAGAAATCAGCCATTATTAAAGTAAAATTTTTAGAGTCCTAAAATTCCAGTGGCATGATGGTGATTTAAGTTTTACTTGCAAAATGGTACATTCTTGCAAAAGACTGAATTTGAAAGTTTTCTTTGAAAAGGTCCTTCATTGAATAATTTCTCAGGTATTCGAAAATATCTTTTATATGAGGAGAAATGAGCCTTTGTTACTATTCTAGCCTTCAAGTTCAAGTCACCAAGATGCCATGAAGTGTAGCTGACATAAAAATTATGTAAATAATAATGCTGTACTTAACAGATGTATCTTTTTTTTCCCCCTTCAGTACTGGGGATTGAGCTCTGGACCTTATGCTTGTGAGGCATGCACGGTGCCACTGTGCTAAAAACACAACCCAAGGAGTCAGTGCTTGTACTTAGAGAATTTCACAAATGCCCTTTCCTGGTGTACTCAACTGATATTTTGATTCTAGGCATACTGGAGAACATTCATTCACTAGATTTTTTATTATAATTGTTTTTTTTAACTGATTTTTTTCTGGCATCAAAAGAAATGAGGAAATGCATAAGTGGTGTTGTCATGACAGTACCTTCATCAATTAGCTTTTTACCATAAATAGTTTTTTAGGAATTCCTGAAACTGAGTATGCAGAGTTTAGCTAGGTTTCAAAGAAACTCATACAAAATATTTCTCCCATTGGGTCCCTTTACATTTTGTTGGGGATTAATATCAATGTGATTACCTGATTCAGTACTGAATGCCACTGTGTTGCTGGCTGGGCCTTCACCAAGTGGATTTTTAGGTTTCACCTGGAATTCATAGCTATAGGGAGAAATAAAAATAATTGCATATTATTGGAGGGTAAGAAAGCAACATTCCCTCGATATACTGACATCTCTTTTGGTTCTATTTGAAAGTATGATTATAACATATGTTCTAGAGAAATAATGCTTTCTTAATTTTACTTTGTAAATACATTATCTTGTCTGATACTTTATACAAGAAAAACATTTTAAAGAGATGGCTGTCTTTTTCAAAGCACCAAACTAGAAAGAAATGGCCAAGTTGGTAGTAAGACCTAAGAAATACTTGGTGGACCCAAGCTAATTCCATCAGTGAGGCACCTTAACTTTCAAATATCTCTTCTATTTCCTGATGCAAAGAATTAGAATTACCTTAAACTTAGCTAGTGAACTTAGGTAGTGTTAGGTAGTATTTCTCATTTAAAATACCTGTGTCAGAACCAGGATAGGGTGGCAGTAGGGAAAGTTGGTTTAAAATGCAGATTTCCTGCCCTACCCCTGTCACTTGAAAAAGTTTATTTGTAAGGCTTTTGTATCTCCTGGAACTCAGATCTATGGATCACAGGAAGCCACAATGTTGAGTTAAGAAGCTTGCGAGTATTACTTTACATGGAGTCCAAGCACAACCACAGACTTTTCCTTGATAAACCATATTCACATTGACCAGGTACTTACCCCTTTATAAAGAAGCAAAATACAGATTCCTTGGAATTGTAAGTACTTGCGTTTCTATCGTTGGAAGTTATTCATTGACTTGTATAATACTTGACATTTTATTATAAGATATGTAAACTGAAAATTCTAAGAAACTCAGTTAAAGCACTTTGTCATTCGTCTCAAACTGAGTTCATGTCAACAGCAAACTTATCAGCAAAATAATCAGATTTCAAACCATCTTGAATCACCTAATAATACTCTGTGAGTCCCAGATTTGTACAATGTGTTTATAAAATAATTTACAGCTTTACATTAAATGAGAATGCAGAACACAAAAGAGATTTTATAAGTAAGTGAAAAACAAGGTTGACATTTCTCAGTTTGGTACAGATGGTACCAATTGAACAATAAAAGAATTTTCTGGGGTACAGGGAATCACTTGTTTGATCACTATGGCATTACATTATAACACTGCAAGAATGTAGTATAAGAAGATAGATACTAGTATTACAACAATGGCAACTGCTTTTGAAGCACTGTCAGAAGCATATACAATATGTAGAGTCTGCATGTACAATATCTAACAAATGTGATAATGACTATTTAATTTTCAGCTGAGAAAAATGAAGCTTATAACCATTGTACTATTACTATCATTGCTTTTCCAAAATTTAAAACTTAGTGAAATGGGGATTAAAACTTACCTTCCTAATAAGGCTTTTTAATGAATGAATGCAAGTGAAAACATTTTATAAACTGAACAATTGGTATAAGGGACCTCCATCATTTACCAAAAGAAAATACTGTTATGAAATACCTATGCCATTCATTTAAACAAAATACACACACACACACCCACACAAAGTGTTTTCACATAGAATATTTTCCAGATTCTCAGGGCCTCAGAACAAAGTAAAACCATAAAGAAAAAGAAAAATCTCACAAAACTGGTGAACTGAAAATGGAAGGAAAACAATGATAGGCATTTGGAGATGGATTCAGGTGGGAACACATTCCACTTTCATCCCAGACCACTGCCAACAGCCCTATGCCTTGGCCAAATCTGACTGCTGGAATCATCTGTACATCTTTTTATTTCAGCTACTTACACATAACCTCTATAGCATGAACACAAACATTTATAGACTACTTTTTTTGACAGCATTTTTTGCTACCTGACAAATTTTGAAATAATTTAAAAGTGTCCTTAATTAATATGAGGACATTCTTATCTAAACCCTAGATAAACATATTTCTGTGGAAAAATCTTTCCCTAAATGTACACTTTCTCACAAAATGAATGATACCATAAGTTTTTAATATCTCAAGAGGAAATAGTGATTCTACACAGAAAAGCACAGGATGATATTTAAAAATTTTAGCAAACAAATTTTTTTGAAATAAGTAAAATTAGAAGTTACACATTTGAAAACATTCTGCAAATACAGAGATACAAAATGAAAGCATATAAAGATATTGGAGGTTTATTCTAGAGAACACAGTATTCTACTAGTAGGAATTCTGGATGAGAAAATAGGAGGAAAGTATAGTAGACAATTGTTCCAGAAATTATACAGTATAAGAAATTTTCCAGAACTAAAAGATGTGTTTCCCAGTTGAAAAGGCCTACTTTGTATCCCCACAAAGGACTAACTAAAGCACTATAGAAGTTGCAAAATTTCAGAATAGTAAGATAAAAATCAAGGTTCTAAATACAGAACAAAACATTAGGTCCCATTCAAAGGTCCAGAATCAGAATGATACTTATTTGACTTTTTAACACAACAGTGGCAATTTGGAGGTAGGGGCGTATAAAGGAATACTGCCTTCAAAAGTCTTCATCATGATTTAATCCTAAAATCTGTTTTCAGCTGGACAGTACTTTCAAAGTAAAGCATGGGCTTTTAAAACATGTATAAACTAAAAAGTACTGTTTCCCATAACCTTCTCAAAGTTTGCTTCCCCAGAAGCCACAAAATAAGGAAATAAGGAAGACATACATATGGCAATTAGGGGATTTGCTGTGGTCAAAAGATGATCGTAAGGGATTCCAGAAGCATTACTATAGTACAGAAATCCAGAGACCAAAAAGACTTGAATATTTGGCTATTTTGAGATACATTCCATCTAGAATTACAGGTTTAATTAATTGATGAAATTAAGCTAAAACAAAAAATGTTTGCCTCAGGAAACAAAATTTAAGAATAGAAAGGAACTCTTTTTGTAGTGTTTGAGTTTTAATTTTCTACTGGCAATTATGATCAAGTGTTTAAGTGTGGTTTTTGTCACTACTACAAAATACCTGAGGCAGGTTTCTTTAAAGAAAAGAGGCTTATGGTTTTGGAGGTACAGGTCTAGGGGCCACATCTGCTGATGACATTCTTGTTAACAGGGTCCTAAGGTAGAACATAGTGTCACATGACAAGAGAAAGAGTGTGCTTGTTGGTGTTTCTTTTCCTCCATGTAAAGGAGGCCTTTACATGGGGGCCTCACCCCTAAAAATCTTATCTAATCCTGAACACTTTCCAAAGGTCCCACTTCTATAACACCAATGGATTTAATTTTCCATCTTCTCAATACCTCAATCATAGCAATTAAATTTCAGGATGTGTTTAGGGGTATAAGCAGAAACAAAACAAAACATTTATTAATGGAAAGAAATGAAAATTTAAAAGCCACTTATAAGACCCACTATATAGAAATGAATATCTAAACGGAGTACAATTCAGGTGAAAACAGCCCCATCAAGAACAAGTCAAGTATAACCTAACATCCCTCAGAATGCTATCCATAGTCTACCTGGATAGGTGTGAATCTCAACAGAAACAGTCTTCCCAGACATGCCTTGCAAGAGTTGATATTATCCAGTGGTCAAGTACATGGGCTCTGTAGGCAGAAAGATGAGCTCACAGCTTACTGATAGGTGATCTTAAGTATGTTAATGAACTTTTCTGAGTTGGTTTCTCCACATATATAAAAATAAGGCTAATAACACTATTTGTGAGCAAAGTATTGTCATTGTAACCTCACAAGGATATAAACATCTGTGAGGTTTGGATGAAGATTAAATGAGCTAATATAAATAAAAGTAAGATGCCTGATAAATAGTGATTATAAATGGTTCCTAGTAATGTACTGTATAGGACTTTTAAAAAAGGAGGTCTTATTGAAGAATTAAACTGCCATAAACCTCTCAAATGTAGAATTCTTTACTTTCAACCTACTTGCATTTTACTTAGTTATAAGAAGGCCACAGCCATTTAATTATTAGGAAGATTAAATTTTACTGGATAAATCTTTCTTCCTCTACCTCCTTACACTAAGAAAATGAAGTTAGAATTCAATGAAAAGTTGAGATGAAATTCTATAGTATTATCCTGAAAGGGAGAAGAATAAAGTGGAGAGTTTGAGACCAAGTTTGAAAGCAACTAAAAAAATCACCATGATAATACATCAATTAATTTAAAAGTGAAAGTCTAAGATTTCAGAAAGTTCAACCCATGGTTCATGAGCTAGACTGTCAGAGACAGGTGATTTCTATTGTGCAGGATCTAGTCTCAAAACTAATGTCTTCAAGGTGGGATGAGGTTGGGGCTCACTCACAGGTAGCCCTCAGGTACAGGTGGGAAGGATGCTTCTTTCTGTCATTCCTTCCTCCACTTTGCTCCTCTTTAGAACCTTTTCACTCTGTTCTTTCCCAAAATATAGAGGGCTGAATTATACTTTTCATTGTTTGATGAACTTTTCTTGTTACATAGTCCCTACTTGTTTAGAAAATTGGCTTAACAAAAGCCTTATCAACTCAGGCAGCCTGCTTTTTATATGTAGAAAGGCCACCCTGTAGCTGCCCATTGGTTTGACTTTTGATTTTACCTCTACTGTAGTCTTGAAATATTGAGCCCCAGTCAGGTGAGGTTTCCATCAAATGAAAAAAATGGGAAAGTGGAATAGGAAAAAATAAAAGAATAAGGGCCACTCAAAAAGTCTAGGGAAAAGTAGTCAATTATTTTGTGAAAGTGCATCTTCAAGGACATTGGAGGACAATAGTAAGCATTTCTGGATACCTAGAATGTGCAAAGTCATTATATAGATTTCAGAATACAGTTAAGGAGCAAGAGGGCAGAACTGAACGAAAAGGAGCACCAAAGAACCCTAAATTAGGATCACAGAACTAGGGGAGTGGCAAATGCCTATAATCCCATTTACTTGAAATGAAAGGCCGAAAGAAGCAACATAGCAAGACCCTCATTTCATAAACAAAATCAGAGTCAGAAGGAAGAACAGGAGCTTAGCAGTCATAAGAAATCGTAAACTAGCTGCCTGCTATGCCCCAAGAGATATTTATTTCTTGAGTCCCCCCATTTCTGTGAGGGACTAGAAATTCCAGAGTTGAGGTGCACTTCACTTCTGTAGTGTTGCCTGGCTTTCTCTCACTCTTCATACAGACTAAGGAAGTCAAGGGAAATGTAATAAAAAGTATACAGTTACATGAAAGGAAGAACTGATGTTTTTATAGACTAGCAAAGTTCTGTGCTCCTATTGAACTGCTCCTTTGCCTAATGAAATGTTGCTAAACTGAGCTATCAACTCAATTTTATCTTTAACAAGGGAGGAATTGCTTTTCTGTTTCCTGTACCTACAATAAAACTAAATAAATGCCTGATACTTTGGCAGCTTATTTTGCTTCTTTCTACAAAACCCACAACATGAGAAGAGACATTGAAAAGTTAATACAGAATTTCCAGAGACCAGAATTCCACAAAAACACTATGAAAATATTATAATGACTATTCCACATGCCTGTTTCCTTGGGCCAGATTTACAGTTTATAAAAAGTTGCTGCCTCTTTTCCAGCTAATCTTCAGTGCCAACATTTTATTTATTCAAACAACATAAACAAAGAATCCCAAACAACCATTACTGCCACTGTGGTAGATTTTAGTCCTACTGGAAGAATTGTTCTCCAAAATCCTTCCAAGCCAACAGAGGTCAATAAAAGTACTTGGGTAGATTAAGTGAATTTGATTTATCCTAATTACCAGACAGAGTAAATTTTCCATAGGAAATTGTTGGAGCATATAAAGGCTGGCACACACAATGGATTCTTCAGTTTTTCAGTAAAGGGAGGAGAAGTAGGCTTATTGGAACCAAATTGAGAGTTTAAAAGGCCTTTTTAGTGTCAATGATTATTGTGTCCATTAATGCTGTCAACCAACTCATCAGGAAGAACACAGCCCATCAACGCATTATCAAAATGTATGTTAAAACCAATTTCTCTGAAAACAGATTGCAAACTGCAGAAAGTCAAAAGAAGGTAGTTTACCTGCCTCCCAAGCGCAAGGTCCTGAGTTCAATCCCCAGTACCAAAAAAAAAAGAAGGTAGTTTACCCAGAAAATTTTGTTATGGGGCTCACAGAGGCTTTAGTTTTATTTTCAGTTCCACTTCTGTCAGACTTGGTCTGTGGCTTTAGCTATCATAGATTATGAGCTAGAAGAAACTTAGAGACCAGCACACTGCCTGTCCCTCTGTGCACTGGTGTAAGATTTATGGTTTGTTGTACCTTATCACTTCCTCTATTCACAGAATTAAAAATAACCAGATCTTGCAGAAAAAGTAGGTTGCTCCATATTGGAAAAGCCCTTCATAAGATTTTTCTTTTAGTTCAACAAGAACCTAAAGACAGAAAGGATTGGTGATCCTGGGTGATTGTGGGACAGGAGTAAAAGAAAATAAATGGAAACTAATTACTGTGAGTAGGTTAGGTAGGCACTGATTTATTTTGATAACAACACTTGCACATTTCTTCAAGGATGAAAGATGGATGCTCTAAAAACAGAGTTTGCCTTATGTTAACAGATTTCTTTTGTCTCACTTGACTGAAAGTTATGGCTCCTCTTCCCTGTGCACATATATGACCACAGCCCACTGCAGCTGCAGGCAGCCACTGTCCTGGCTGTGGACTTTATGTTGCCTTTGTAGGTGTACCCATGTCTCCAGAGCAATCAGGGTTCCATTGTCTATACACAGGAATACCTAATGCCTGGTGTGGAGCCAGACTCTCATTTTGGCAAAATAGCTACTGAAAGGCCCCTCGCTGTGGACTATTTTTGAGCTCCTGCAAAGTAGATAAAAACCTGGCTAAGTCTAAAAACATGCAAGAGAACATTGGCTTTCACTGTGACAAGGAAAAAGGAGCACAAATCTACTGTCATTTTGTTTTTGCAATAATGTGTGGTCATTTAGGATTTCTGGCCATAACCAGTCTATAAATCTTTAATGTCTACCTTGATTCTTCTGGGTTAACTGTTCAAACTCCAAGCTCTACTACACCCTTGTCAGTGTGTACACAGCAGTAATTATCCTTTTATACTTTTAGATATCACTTTTACCCCCAATCAGTCCAGTTGGTGGAAAAAATGTTACCAAGACAAATGATTTACATCTATCTCCAACTAATGGAACATAGCTATAGTAATTCTTTCAGAAGCATATTATCTTCCAATTTTTCAAGTAGAAAAGTCCAGAAGCTCAGCAGCTATAATTCAAAATTTGCATCTGTGCACTAAGACATGCTACTGTCTGTGGCATTCCTTTTGCCTAACACAATCACTCAGCTAGCTCTTCTCTACTCTTCTGTCAGTCTCATCCTAGATGCCGCCTTTTCCAGGACAGTTTTCCTACCTTCCCCAGACTCTGTGGAGCGCTGTTCACTCTGGACTTCTCTGTGACTTTTGGCATATTTCCACCAGTCTTCCACCACTCTATGTAGAATAGTGCATTTGGTTATCAGCTGCTTCTCTGCTAGCCTTGAGCTCCAGGGCAGGCATCATATGTACTTGTTTGTAGCCACAAGACAAGCACACTCCTGAGCATATCCTTGACACGTAATACATATTAGCTGACTGGAAAGCAAACCTTTCACAAACAAATTGACCTTAAGATTTCACCAGAAAAACTGTTCTACATTTTTATCATGAGCTAATGGCTACACTACGAAAAGTTCTGAGAACAGCCTGATCCAGCAAAGGAACACAATGCACATTTAGAAATTGGACACCTTTCATTAGAAATTGTACTGCACAAGCTACTTTTTATTAAGTGGGATAAAAAAACAGGAAACTAAAAAGAAAAACTATCCAAGTTTGTCAGCACACAAGAAGCTATTAAAAAGAAGAAATTATTTTTTTTCTTTTTTCCTAAAAATGTAGCAAAATTGGGCTCTTTCTCTCAATTTTGGTAAGGAAACCACCAGGACCATCAAGTGGGTTTTTACTAAAATATGTGCTTATTTTCGCCAACCTAAATCTTTTTAAGAAAATTAACAATTAACAAAAATTTCCATGTTACAATTCAAACTAAAAAAATGCAAAGAAACCACATTTGTGGTAGAAGTTATTTTTGCAACATAAGACTAAAGTTTATACACAGAAAATCTCCTTTTTCCTCAGAGGATTAGAAGAATTCCTGTATTGCTGGAGTTCGAATAGACTCCTCTGAGAGTCACTAATTTGATTCGGTCAACTAATAATAATGAGAGGTCTGAGAAGTGAATCAATGAAAAAAAGCCCTTCTTTTTCTCCAAGGCCCTTATTTTTCTCTCAATATTAAAATAAACTGAAAAAATATCATGTGTTGTAGATTTAAAAAGGAGTCACAAAACCATGCAGTATTATGAATAACCTGGTATTAATGTGTAAAAAGTTGTTTATTATAGAGCAATGTTAAAAATATCAAATCAGCTAGGTGTGGTCGCATATGCCTGTAATCACAGCCCTTTGGGAGGCTGAGGCAGGAATACTGAAAGTTCAAGCTCAGCCTGGACAGCTTAGTAACTGAGCAAGACCTTGACTTACACTAAAAAATTTAAAAAGGATGGGGATACAGCTCAGTACAAAGACCCTGGTTTCTATCCCAAGTAGAACTACCTCAAAAGAAAAGTGTGCAACTCCATTGTCAAAACTCTATTCTAAATTTTTCAATGATGAAATGTCCCAAAGCAAAGAATCTCTGTACCTGGAACCAGGATGTAGTTATTTAAAGTATTACTTACTACTAAAAACTACCTAAATTTTGTCACATGGCTTCCATTTCTTTGTCCTCTTTTACCACAAAAGCCAAATTCTTCAGTGCTTCAAATCTAATTTACATCCCCCACCAATAATTTGCATATTGTCAAAACATGTCTCCAGAGGTATTTAGAAAGCTAGAGTGAAACACAAACTCTTTTAACACAGCAAAGATGAAATAATTCTATTTCTTTTTCTTTTTCTTTTTTTTTCCTGCATCCTCAGAATAGCACTGGGGCTTACCTTGTGTCTGGTTTCAGATTTTCCACTGTGGAGAAAGTTTGATTTGTAATTTGAATGGACTTGTTCTTCCCGCTGAATGACCCATTTTCTCTGGATATAACTTCATATTCTGAAAAATGAAAACAAAAAGAATAATTGTCTTCATGTCCTAGTTGATGTAATGGCTTTTGAAGCTAATAGTATAATTATAGCCATTTAAATAAAAGTGTGCAATTGAAATTGCAGTTCTAGAGTCATATTGATCCTATATGTTATCAATATCCAGGTAGGAATGGTCACCCCAATTGTTAAAGTCCCCAAAACACTTTCAGAGTTGCTCACTGGCCATTTCTACTTTCCCTTTATCAGAGTACAGGAAGGCCTGGTAAAGACTAAGGACCCTCCTAAGTTGATTTGGATGTATAGTCTGTGATAATGTTAGGTGTAGTCTGCCACCACCAGAAAGCCCAGTTTGGGCAAAGCACTTTATGAGGAGTGATGCTTGTGTAGAAGCCATGTTTCCTAATCTATGGGGCTTTGTGATGCAGGCTGAGGGAAATGTCATAGAATATGAGGTACTGCTGTAAAAATTCGAGCTGTTTTTATTACATCAACAAATACCAGTTAACCAAATAATAAGCTATTTTTCTGTAGTTCATCATCTGGAGCTACAGAATTAGGAGGATTTTGTACCTATTGCTTATATAAGTTATGCTACCTAGATAATTTTCTTTGTGATAAAGGAAACTTGTCTCTTTAAAGTCTGCAAGTGTATATAAATTTCACTCAAAGGCATGTTTCTATGAAGTTCTAGGGCTCAACAAAAAAGACTCCGAATAAGATAATATAATATACAGACTTGTCAATTAATTTTCCCTGCTCTCCACTGAGATTTAAACTTAATGCATGTGACAAGATGATAGAAATGAAAAAAAAAAAAACAAAAAAAAAACCCAAAAAAACAAAACTACCACACTACTCAAATCACTTCCATTGATGCAAAGAAGTAAAAAAAAAGTTTGGCATCACATAAGCTGGAAAGATTGCAAAGAAGCCAGCAAGTTCTGTTAGGGACTTTTGCTACTGTACTGAGATAAATATTGGAAATAAAATGTAAACTATAAGTAAGGTAAACCCAAAATTCCCAATTTTAATTTAGGAAGGATTTTTTAATAGTTTATTTAAAAAACCCAAAAAGGAAAACAATCTTTTCAGAACAATTTAATATGATGATCTTTCTGAAAGGTTAAAATAAAGCAGGAAGATAGTGAACACTGTTTCTAGACACCATCACTGCAACTGCTAAAGTACCGGTGACTGATAATTAGCTAAGTAACTTATTCAGATTCCTGTTTGTTCCCAGCCTCCTTTCTCTCCCTTTGGCTCTTTATTCTAGAAAAGAATGGAAGGGGAGGGAGGGAAGATCAGTTGAAAACTGTCCATTTTATATGTTTTCCTCAGTTATAAAAAGACATTTGCTAGAAAAAAAAGAAGTAATTAAATTGAGTTTTTTAAAAAAAATGGAAACCACATGACTTAATGGAAAGATTCAAATCAAGCCACTTACCTTGAATTTAATTTCAATCTCCCCATTTGTAATATGCCAGTAATATCTCTTCATAGTATTGTTTTTGGGAATTAAAGCAGGAACATATGGAAGGCACCTAATACTGTGCATGATTTTGTTAAACCAGTGATACTTATTACTGTTGTTGCTTTTATTCTCTTTATCTCCAAGTTGTGTTTTAAAAATAGTTCACACAAATTTTTAAAGTTTCCAATAGGAAAGATGCATGCTGCTTAGTCACCAAAAGAACAATTTATATAAAATTCTAGTTAAGTATATATCAAATGAACCACCTTCAAATATATTTTGGCTTGAGGTATTCTGCATAAACTGTTTGATATTCCTTTTCATTATTAACCCAAAGATTTAGTATTTGAAACTAGTGGTGACTATCTTCTCTAATTTTTATTTGACACAAATCTTAAAAGTTAATGATATTTTCCCCTGGAAAATCAATTTTCAAAATGAATCTAGGAGTTTTCTTTAAAATTGAAAATATTTAGAATTCCTCACAAAATTCTAGCTTTTGAATATATGTATGCTTGTCTTGTGCTTTGTAAATTTATCTTCATTTTTAATTGGTCTGTTTTGTTTTGTTTATTTTTTGAGACAGAGACTCACTATGTAGTTCAGACTGGCTATGAACTTACTATGTAGCCCAGGTTAGCCCAAACTTTCAGCAATCCTCCTGTCTCAGTCTCCTGAGGGCTGAGATTTACAAGTGTGGGCCACCACACCTGGCCCATTTTTAATTCTTTAAAGTGATATCTTTCCATAAATCTACAAACATAAAGATTGGTTCTACTATTGGTCTACTGACAAACATTAATTCAACAGTTACTTGTATATTAAAATTCCCTGTTTTTTCCTTAGGATACATCAATAATGATGGAATTACTATTATAACAGATAAGGAAACAAGTTCACAGAGTTCATTTATGTGTCCAAGCTGCACATCAAAAATATAGCCAGTCTTTGGTATAAATCCACAGCAGCCCACTCTTGGAACATTGTGCAACAATTTATAACATGCTCTTAGAATATGGCAACAATTTATAATTAACCTAACTCTAAGTTGTTCAAGAACTGAAACTATGATCAACTTTTTACAGTACCTATTTCTACCTCCATATAGAAGGGACATGCAAAAACAACTGAATTGGAATATATTCACTGGAGGGAAATATGTGCCTGTCAGCTTAAAAAAAAAAGATCATTGACAGAAGTCAATTGCAGATATGAGGGCTACAGTTCATTCTCTTTATTTTCCTTAATCACTTACTACAACACCAGTTCCAGTGCCATAAAAATTAATTTCTATATTATCTAAGGTGTTGTTTTGTAGCAAACATATATGAAATCGTGGTATTTAATAAACACTAAAACAAAAATGGAAAAACTAGAGCAGAACATTAGGGTAAATGGTCTAATGCTGAAATATGGTTTAAGGGAACAACAGTTAAAGATGAACATTTCTATTTAAGAAATATTTGGGCTAAAGAGATGTGATCCTTGTCCATAAAAGTTCTTATAAGTCTTATATCCCATGAAAGATCCCAAGCATCCCATTAACATATAATAACATTATAACAGCCGTTAGTGACATGTATAAAGTATGATTAGATGTATAAAATATACTGCATTCATGATCCTTCAAGATTACACACATATAAATTTAAAAATTTATTTAAAATTCTTATTTAGAAAAGAAAATACTGTATATTTTAAAAGATAAAGCAAATATTATCCATGTAAATAT